CCCAGCATATAATATATACTTAGTCACCATATCTTTCCAAATCACCCTAAACTCCTGTTATTCTTTTATTTCACACCAAAATCTCTGTATAAAGGTTTTTTACTCATTTTTCCATTCTAATGCCTCCTTAATCTCACCTTTGTTCTCTTTATTCAGTCCAACCAAAGCTTGTCCCTCTTCATATTCCATAATGTTTGGTTACTTCCTTATATGCCATTAAAATCAAATCATTTTCAACAGACATTTCTGGGGACAGCACAGTTCTCCATGTGGAGCTTGTCCCTCCGCTTCACTTTGTTTCCCTTCCCTAGCCAATAGTACTTCACCAAAGCAAGTGCTAGGCTCTGTTGCTTACCATACTTATTAGTCTATGTGGGCCCTCAAATTCTGGTGGTTGGATGTCTATCTATTTAAACTCCATCCATCCACTCCCACATACAATGTACATTAGGAGATGTTCACACACATGTGATATTCATACAATCAAGTTTCCTGCCCTGCATTTGTTATCTTGCTAGGTCAAAGAGAATGTTTATACTTTATGTTTATACTCTGAATAGTCATTGAATGCCATATTGGTGGACAGATTCCAAAAGTAATTGGAATCGAGGGAAATCAATAGGTGAGTCCATGACAAAAAATTATATTATATTGTATTGAAATTATTTTCCAAGAACTTTCTTCTTCTGTCACATTAAAAATTACTATTTATTTTACTATATTATAAGCTTATTATGTTTTTTAATTTATTTTAAAATGTTATTTAGAATGTACTAAGCAGAATCAGAATGGAAATTATGTAGTATTTTAAGTGTTAAATTGGGGGAAAGATAGAAAGGCGTCATACTTCAACCACTGATTACAGGAAAAAATTTGTATTAAAGAGAAAAGATAAATAGACAATTGAAAAAGAACGGACAAAAGATACAAGTATAATGCTTTAAATTGAGATGAAGTAAATAAAATAGAATTAAGAGAGTGAAAAGAGGGGAGAAGACATATAGAAAGTATAGAATGTTAAATAAGATTGAAATAGTATATAAGGTGAGCATGAATTTGATTTATGTCTGTACAAAAAGATGTAACCCGGGGTTAAGCCGCTTTCTAAAAAGAAGTTTTACGTTTTCATGTTACGTGTTTTGTTTGTTTATGTTTGCTTATTGAGAATTAAGATTGTTGGATGAGAACATATGAAATTGTAAATAAGATAGATGAAATTATAAGTTTAATGAATAAAATTGAATAGAAGTAAAGGGAAAAATAGTGAGAAATTAGAAAAAGAGTAATAAGATATGAAGCTGAATATATAAGATGCATATTAAATTGTGTTTGTATGGAAATGGGATAATTCGGAACTATGCTGTACTTAAATAAGATGTTTTATTTGCTTTCTTAAAAGATGTTCTATGTTCTTACGTTTTATTGGTTTGTGTATTGTTTTTGAAAATTAATAAAATTTGTTCTAAAAAAAATTACTATTTATTGACATCGTTTTAGAACTATAAATAAGCAAGTTAAGAATAAGGAAGTGAAAGCTGTCCTATTTTATTGTGCCTTTAGCCTGACCTGACTATTAAGGCAGGTCACAAATTTTGCCACATAAATAAATCTCAATTAATGATGAAGCTAGTAAAAATGCATGGAGTAGCATAACACTTCTCGTATACCATTATACTGTATGTTCTATCTATCCCTCCTCTCAACTTCCCGTTGTTCTTTATATAGAAAAGATTTTAAGTGCAATTTTCATGATGAAATTGGTATGTGTAACATAATTCTCATAAGTAATAGTAAAGAGTGTTCTTTTGCATGTAATTAAAATATGTGACTATGTATAATATACTTAGACCAAATATATTTATAATGGTGTTTAAAAGTTTGTGAACTCTCGAGTTTTCAATATTTTTGTATAAAATTAGATCTAAAATTAGATCAAATGAGTGAAAAGCCTTATGTCTGTTCATTTTTTTTGTACTGAAGACAATTATCCAAAACTACATAAGGAAAACAGGTATTATTTTAAATAATATTTATACAGAAATATGAGTTCACAAACTTTTAAGCACCATTGTAAACTGAAGTTAATTTCTGTGTCTGTGAATCCTTACCTATCCTGACTGAAACCAGCATGGCTGCATAAAGAACTCTCTGGCAAATTGGCCAAGTATAAATAGTGGAAAGAGGGGCACATAAGTAAGACAGATTATCAGCAAATAGCCTGAGCCTGCAAAGATGAAGTGAGGAAAGCTAAGGCTTGCAGCAAACAAAGGCTTGTGACAAAAGTAAAAAAATAGCAAAAAAAGCTTCTTCTAATATGTTAAAAACAAGAAAAAAAGTTAAGGAAACAATTGGTTTACTGCTGGGAGAAAGTGGCAAGAAGGTGACAAGCAACAGGGAGAAAGCAGAACTACTTAACTCATCTTTTGCATTTGTCTTTACACAAAGGGAAAAAACAGTCCAACCTGTCAAAAACAGCACCACAAAAAACAGATTAGGAACACAAGTTAAAATAGGGAAGAAAATGGTAAGTGAGCACCTGTCTATGCTAGACGAGTTCAAATCACCAGGACCAGATGGATTATATCCCAAAGTTCTGAAGGAACTGGCAGATGTGATCTCAGAACCACTGAATTATATCTTTCAAAGATCCTAGAGCACTGGGGAACTACCAGAGGACTGGAAAAAAGCTGATGTGGTTCCCATATTCAAAAAAGGAAAGACAATAGATCCACAAAACTACAGACCTATCATCCTGATCTGAATATCAGGGAAGATTTTGGAAAAGATAATCAAGCAACGATTCAGTGAACACCTAGAAGCAAACAAAGTAATAATCAAAATGGGTTTGTCAAAAACAGATCATACCAGACTAATTTTATTGCATTTTTTGACAAAGTGATAAAATTAATGGACCAAAGGAATGCTGTTGATATAATTTACTTGGACTTCAGTAAGGCATTTGACAAAGTAGACCATACCCTACTACTTGATAAAATAGAAAAATGTGGGCTAGACAGCATCACCACCAGATGGATTTGTAACTGGCTCACCAACTACACTCAAGGTGTAGTCCTCAACGAAACTGCATCTACATGGAGGGAGATATGCAGTGGGGCACCCCAGGGCTCTGTTATAGGCCCAGTACTCTTCAACATATTCATCAATTATTTGTTCAAGGGAATAGATGGGAAACTGATCAAATTTACAGACGACACTAAGCTAGCAGGAATATCCTACACTCCGGAAGATAAGCTTAAGATACAGAAGGATCTTGACAGACTTGAACATTGGGCGCTATCTCACAAAATGAATTCAATGGTGAAAAAAGCAAGGTAGATTTGGGCAAGAAAAATAAAATGCACAGGTACAGTATATGTGGTGCCTTGCACAATATTGGTGACTGAGTGAGGGATCTTGGAGTCCTAGTGGACAATCATTTAAATATGAGCCAGCAGTGTGATGCAGCTGCAAAAAAAAACCCAACATAGTTCTAGGCTGCATAAACAGAGGGACAGAATCAAGATCATGTGAAGTGTTAATATCACTTTATAATGCCTTGGTAAGGCCACGCTTGGAATACTGCATCCAATTTTGGTCTCCACAATGTAAAAAAGATGTCGAGACTCTAGAAAGAGTATAGATAAGAACAACAAAGATGATTAGGGGACTGGAGGCTAAAACATAAAGAATGGTTGCTGGAATTGGATATGTCTAGTCTTATGAAAAGAAGGACTAGGGTGACATGATAGCAGTGTTCTGATATCTCAGAGGTTGCCACAAAGAAGAGGTAGTCAAACTATTCCCCAAAGCACCTGAGGGTAGAACAAGAAGCAATGGGTGGAAACTAATCAAATAGAGAAGCAACTAAGGAGAAATTTCCTGACAGTTAGAACAATTAATCAGTGGAACAACTTGCCTCAAGTTGTAAATGCTCCAACACTGGAAGTTTTTAAGAAGAGATTAGATAACCATTTGTCTGAAGTGGTGTAGGGTTTCTGTTTAAGTTGGACTAGACGACCTCGAAGGTCCCTTCAAACTCTGTTATTCTAAATTCTAAAACCTAGTGCCATCATGTCGGTGTTGACTCTTAGCAACCACATAATTAGATTTTCTCCAGCATAGTCCTCTTAGCTTAGCTTTTTCCACAATTCATAACATGCTTTTTCTAGAAAAATAAGGTTGTGTTTTTTTTAAAAAAAGCAATAAGGTAAAGAAGTAACTTTTTTAAAAGAACAATTTTGCACATGAATTTTAAGGTAGTGCAAATTCAAGCAAGATATGTAGGATAGATTGTTGTGGATATGACAATTGATTATCATTTATAAACCAAGTGTTCACCCCTATTATGAAAAGCAATGACTGTTGCTACTGCTTCTACTATCAATACACTACACATAAATTCCACTAAACCTATTTTTACTTGAAAATTGCTTTAAAAGTGGGATGTTTGACAACTATACAACATTCTACGTATATCTCTTCTTCTTTGGAAACAACTGTTTTGATTTTAAAGCATTTGCATCTTTTACTACATCGCTAACAAGCTGCCAATCTGTAGAAAAATGAGAATGTATCCTGTTTTATGTTTTAAAAGGATGCTGTACAGGCCAATGATATTTAGAGAAGTTGATTGTTCCAAATATTTCCTTTCAATTCATGAGAAGGCCCTGCTCTTCCATCTTGTGAGCAATGCCTCTGAAATGTATTCTCCACTTCAGCAGATGTTTAGACTCAGACTTAATATGTGTACACATTGTTTAAATAACTGCAAAGCTTTGGTTCAACCTTTTCCATACTTTGCTAGTTAATTACCTGGGCTTTTATGTTTACATGCAGTTAGTGTATCTCTAGCTATAAAGTACATAATTTATAATTGATGTAAATGATTGTTATTATGTCAATTAAGCAGCTGGGTTCTCCACCTTCTCACTAAACAGAATGAGTGATAAACATTTACATGGAGATGCCTATTTTTCTTCAGAAAGGATAAAATAAATTACCTAGGTAGACCAGGTTGTCCAATTGTTCTCTGCTGAGGTAGATGTTGTATCCTGGTCTCTTCTCTTGACCTGTTGACTGCAGTAAATGGTCAATTTCATCATGCACCACTGCAAAAGCTTCTGGGTGCCTCAACAGATAATACATCGTCCAGAATATAACAGGAATGGTGTTTCCCACCGAGGCCCACAGAAAGGCGAAATGATGTGCTGGGAGAAAATAAGTGAAAAGGAAGATTAATAGCATTTATTACACTGATTAGATTTGCAGTGTGCTAATTAAAAGATGTTAGGACACAGACCCAGCCAAGGATCAGTGAATGCTAATGAGGACCAATAGGCTTCTGAAAGTCTAATTTTCTGCTTAATGAGAATAGTTTGAAATGTAATTTCAGGGTGGGGGGTGGGGGTGAAATAAAGGGAGGAAATGCAGCTCAGTTATAATCTCGCTCATTATCACCATTAAGTATCTTGTTTTACCACCTCAGCCAAAAAAAGAGAGAGAAAGAAAGAATCAATTATCAGACAGGATTGTTTCAGAGTAAAACATTTTATCATTACCCAATTAGAGAAAAAACATAAAAATTTCAAGGTCACAGTTTTGCCATTTTATTTCAAAGGACTCTAGTAAATTATCTGATTCGACCTAAGCAATCATTCAAAAGTTTGCTACCTGCTTTGTCATAATCGCTAAGCACTTTATAGTTTTCAAGGATATCTTTTCTGTCTTGGACCACTTTAGAAACATCTAACCATTTCTCCATCTTTTTTGGATTTAAAAAGTTTATGAGTTCTCTCCGAATATTCTTGGTTGCTCCCAGCAATGTAATTGGTACATTTAGAGCCAAATAGGAAAAATTGGCATCAAACTTGAGAAATTTTTCTCCAATTTCATCAGTAACATTATAGCCATCATTATGAGGATCCCTTCCAAAGAAAGTTTTAAAACTGGCTTCAAATATTATAGAGAAGCAGAACTTGTGCATTTTTTCCATCTCCCAATCTACCATTTGTGAAATCTTTCTCTTAAATATATTTTGGAGGTTCTTCATCATGTTATCGGAGAGTGTGTCCAATGATTTGCCAAGAATATATTGATAATTCCTGTGTACATGTTCATTTAAGTCAGGGAAATTTCCATTTACAATTGGCGGATGATCAAATGCTTGGCTTGATATTTGATCTGCAAATTCTGTAAATCCCAGATACTTGCTGTTCTTGGTCATAAGAGGATATTGTAGGGGGTTTATTATAAATGTAATATATTTGCCTGAAAGAAAAAGAAAAAAGAATTTGGTCAAGACCCACATGATAATTTATGCCAACATTCTGCAACCTGTTGTCTTAGAGTAGTGCTTCTCTATCTCAGCAACTTTAAGATGTTTGGACTTCAACTCCCACAATTCACCACCTAGCCATGGTTGGCTGGGGAATTTTAGGAGTTGAAGTCCATTGAGAAACAATGCCTTAGAGGGATCATATACAATAGCTCCCCATCATCTCTAACACAAGACATATGGTGGCTGATACTGATCTAGAAAACAATACGTTTGAGAAATCTGATGTAGTCAAAATCATTTTTCTGGTGTTTCTTTCCAAATTATAGTAAAACATGGCAGTCTCAGAATCCTCACAGCACCAGAAGGGAGATCTTTCAAAAATACTGAAGAAAAACAGTCATATATTTGTATATATAAAAATATGGCATACATTTTATATGTACATTACAAAAAAGGAAATTACAACAAACTACTATATTGGGTTTTGAGGTATGAAAAAATAGCAAATAAACCATGGCAGCATTGATAAACCCTGATAGCATTGCTATGCAGAAAAAGTTGCAATACTGTGCCTCAAATTTCTTTCTTTCTCCCAATCACCAGAAATACGTCATAACAGAATTAATACTTTGCTTTATACAGATAAACAGCATTATTTTTTTATTTTCCCCAATCCTTTTACATTCCTGGCTTTTTATTATATTTCTATTAATATTTGTGGACCACATAAAATAATTTGCTATAATGCTATAATGTTTTGCATTCTGGTTCCAGTAACAAATTATTCATTTTTATTATGGTGTCTCCTGAGGTAATTACCATATTTTTTGCACTATAAGACGCACCTGACCATAAAATGTACATAGGTTTAGAGGAGGAAAAGGGGCAATGACAAAGACAGAAGAGGCGGGGTTCAGCACTGTAAAAAGACCCCGCTGCTGCAGCCTGCGTTTTTCACTCCATAAGATGCACAGACATTTTTTGGGGGAAAAAAGTGTGTCTTATGGAATGAAAAATACGATAGTTTAACAATATAATTTGTGAATGTTTCTAAAATGTTTCCTATGCTTTATTCACTAATATATAAACTAAAACTTAGTTTAAATATTTCCACAACAAATCCAAAGTTGAGAAAGTCCACATTTTTTGGTACATAATTCATCAACAAGTCCAGGTTTAAAATCTTATTTCATTTCCCAGCATCATAAATTTAACGAAAATGGTACACTTGCTAAAGCTTTAAAAATCACTATTCTTTCACTTCTAAAGACTAAAACCTGCAAAACTTCTTCTGAATTGGCCAATAAACATAACAAAGAATATTTTGTGGAAATATTTTGTTAAAACAAAACATTTCCATTCTTTTCAAGGTACCTTGCAGGTTTTTCATCTCTATCTTCAGCAAAATATAGCTTTGGAAACGTCTGAAATTCATTTGAACAAAACAGTAATTTTAAAACTATAAAGCATTTATAGAGTACCCAAAACACTGTAAAAAAGCAAAAATAAAGAATTTTATTTTTAATATATAAAATAAAAAGTATAATGGGAAAAGCTATGTGGAGTCTAGAAGAGACATTCCCCAAATAATGTACAGTACAAAGGTTCCTCCCCCAACACCAGCTATGAAATTCACCTTCAGCTGAAACGTTGTAAATATACAGTAGTGAATATAAATGAAATGCTACAACCTTTCTTCTTGCGATCCCAACTGAATACAATTGTCAACAGCTTTGAGGCCTGATAATGTATTTATTGTATCTCAGAATAAACAACAGAAACAAAAATAGATAAATAAACCACTGGTGGAATTCAATTTTTTTTACTTCTGGTTCTGTGGGCGTGGCTTGGTGGGTGTGGCAGGGGAAGGATACTGTAAAATCTCCAGTCAGAGGTGGTTTGCCGGTTCTCCGAACTACTCAAATTTCCGCTACCGGTTCTCCAGAATTGGTCAGAACCTGCTGAATACCACCTCTGAAATAAACCTTTCTGACTTAGTTTGCTGCTAGACAAAAGCCACATTATACTCTATAAAGAAAGCTCTTAGGTTTTTTTATCTAAAAATCCAGCTTGCCTTTACTTTGGATTGGAAATATTATCATGAGATAATCATAGATCTAAGAAGTTTAACCCAAAATATTAGTTTAGTGAAAGAAGAAATCTGAACAATATGCAGTTTTAATTTCTAATTCATTACATCTGTACCCAAAAATGCTCATTTAGGAATGTTCCCATAAACAAGACCAAGGAGTGATCTTGCGCAGTATTATAGGGAATTCCAGTAGAGAGAAGTTCCCTGAGAATGGACTCCAGCAGTAGTCCGAAAACTTGGACTAAACCTCTGGTTCTGGTGACCAACCCAGGTTGGATCCTACAATGTATATTTGCCTTCATTAAATATAGGGAATACTCAGAAATCATAGGTTATTCCTATATAACAGACTTGAATATGAGTGCTTTCATTATGAAACTCATGCACTTTCAAATGGTTGCTTTTCTCTTGGGAGACAGCAACTATCATTTTCAAGTTTGCCACATCTTATTAAGAGAATCAAGCTACAGTGGAGCATCTATATAGTTTTTAATTACTGAAACTCTTAGTTTTATAGCTCTTTAAATAATGAGGCAGAAAATTAGAAGCAATTCAAAATCAGACACTTTCCCAATGTCTGGAATATCTGACAAGTCAGGAGTTTAAAATCACTCCTTGCAATTCCTCTGAGATAGGAAGATTGTTTAATTACAGTTTTTTTTTCTTTCTTCAAAATGATGCCTGGAATGTGGAGGTGATTGCTTTCTCTGGCATTTTGTTTTGGGCCATGATTCATTCACAAGCAGATGTCACTTAAAAAGAAGAAATAAACTTGTCCAATTATGAAAAAGCTTATAAGGCAGCCCAAATTCAGAAACAATCTCCAATGTCAGTAGGAACCAGGGACTGTAGATCCTGCAGTCACCTATTTATTTATTAAATTTTGTACCATCTATTTCCTTTCAAAACTGGAAACTCTAAATTCTATTTGATAATATTCAATATTAGCAAGTCTTTAGCTTGTGTGTTTTAAGGACTGCAACAGAATAATTTTGTGACTTAGGAGACAAGCCCAGAGGGCAGATAAAATTGCTCTGTCAATAAATGTGTATAAATTAATAAATGTGTTATAGGATACATTATTGGTATTATTATTGTTATAAATCAGATTTGATATGTTGAGAAATATATGGGCACAGAAACTCATGGGTGCCATTCATTAATGCTATTAATTCTATTTCATGGATACATATTTGTAGATATTACATACACAGATTTTTTTTAAATCTAAAAATTACATGCTTGAATCTTTCATTACATAAAAATATATTCTCCTACGCACATTTCTCCATATTCATCTTTTTAAAGCCCACAAACATAAGTTATTTTCCAGCTATATAAAAACATAAGAGTTGTTTATTTCTTATTTCCAGAATATAACAGAATAACAGAGTTGGATCTATTTATTTATTTATTTATTTGATTTGCCAATTGTTTACAAGATAATAAGTATAAGTGTATACATAGTTGTGAATACATGAAATGGGTACATATAAGAAAAATAAAAGAAGAATAAGAGAAACAATAGGACAGGGACGGTAGGCACGTTGGTGCGCTTATGCACGCCCCCTAGTCCAACCCTGTGCTCAAGCAGGAAACCCTGTACCATTTCAAACAATCTCTTCTTAAAAACCTCCAGTGTTGGAGCATTTACAACTTCTGGAGACAAGTTGTTCCACAGGAAATTTCTCCTTGCTTCTTCTCCTTGATTAGTTCCCATCTATTGCTTCTTCTCCTGCCTTCATGTGCTTTGGAAAATAGGTTCATCCCCTTAAATATTTGAACACTGCTATCATATCATCCCTAGTCATTTTCATTAAACTAGACATACCCAATTCTGACAACTATTCTGCATATGTTTTGGTCTCCAGTCCCCTAATGATCTTTGTTGCTCTTCTCTGCACTCTTTCTAGAGTCTCAACATCTTTTTTTATATCATGGTGACCAAAACTGGATGCAATATTCCAAGTGTGGTCTTACCAAGGCATTATAAAATGGTATTAACACTTCGTGTGATTTTGATTCTATCCCTCTGTTTATGCAGTCTAGAACTGTGTTGGCTTTTTTGGCAGCTGCAGCACACTGCTGGCTCATATTTAAGTGATTGCACACTAGGACTCCAAGATTCCTCTCACTGTTAGTACTATTGAGCCAGGTATCACCTATTCTATATCTGTGCATTTGGTTTTTCTTGCCTAAATATAGAACTTTACTTTTCTCACCATTGAAACTCATGGAGATGTCTATATTTAGAGATTTTGCTGAGCCCCATGACTTCTAGGTAACATAATTGCATAGAGTTTTACAGTCTAAACTTTTGCCTCTGACCTAAGTCAACAATTTCAGTCTGGCCACCATTTGATGTTCTTGATGCACAGGTAATATCACTGCACTGTGTTTTCTGGATATTAGTTTGACATGGCATTAGAAAGCTTAATTCTAACTCAGCATTGGCCCAATAAAGATCAGTTACCTTGTGAATATTTAAATTTGTACGTACTTAAGGATGCTTAATTACATCAGAACCTCAAGGGCAGGGGTGGGGTTCTCCTGGTTCAGACTGGTTCTATAGAACTGATTACGATTCTGCGCAGTTCGGACAACTGGCAAATTGTGCCCCTGGCTGGCCCCTATTCCCTTTTCTTCCTCCCAAAGACCAGCTGTTCCGACAATCAGCTGTGTTGGGATCCCACTCGCTGTCTTACTGCTTCACCCAGGAGGCTTCCCTGAGACCCAGGAGGCAAAAAGTGGTGCTTGGAGGAGAAATGCTGTGCGCCCCCCCCCCCCCCGGTACTCTTTTTTTTTTTTTTTTGCCTTCCTGGGCCTCAGGGAAGCATCCTGGGAGAAAAATTGTCTCTAGGAGGCTTCCCTGAGGCCCAGGAGCCAAAAAAATTGGGG